ACTGAGTATATCCAAATTAGAAAGATATAAACAATGCCGATCTTTTAGAAAGAGTGAGCCCAAATGCCCACTTTTTTTGAAAATTTTGAAGAGAACAGCAAAAGCAAGAGGGAGATAAAAAGACCAAAAGGAAACATCAAAGAAATATCTATCCAAGCCTGTACAATACTAAGTTTTTTCAGTGAGTGATAAACTCTGAGCTTGTCAGCAGGTAGCATATGAGAACTACCTCTAAACAACAAGTGCCATGTCTGTAATAGGTCCTTTTTTCTATGTTTTATATTAAGGCTTCTTTCGAACCAAGCCATAATGTATATTATTCAAAAAGGTATCTCTAAATTTCCAAGAAGTGTTGTTATAAAAACTCATTTATTGTTCTCCTTCTATTCTATTCTTTTGCATTATAGATTATTTTGTTGACAAAAAGGCTCCAACTTCTCATAAGCATCTTCTTTCCAAAATTTTGAAGCCAAGGGTGCCAACTTCTGCTAGTTATCTTGTTTCCTAACGCTTCTGGTTTGCATGCCAAATATGTAAAGGAGTCCTCTGTAGAAGCAAGTTGACCTTTACATAAACTGTCTCATAAGCATTCTTCTCCTCTCCAACAAAATTTTTGTTTTTGTTCTGTAGGAAATTTTGGTCCAGATGATCATTGGAAAGAGTTAACTTTTTTTGAATTTATAATACAATATATACTGTACTATATATATATTATATTATAAATTGAGATTTATATTATCTCTAGCTATAATTTTTTTAACAACTGCTAATCTAAATTAAATAAAATTTTTAGAATTATTATAAAATACATTTATGGTGTTTTAGCATCTATGTATAATTTCTTTTAATAAAATTTAGAGTTAGAGTTAGGAAATTAAAAATTATTATTTTTTATATAATATATTATAGAGCTAATATTAGATCTCAATCTTAGTTTTTGTAAGATTTTTGAAGATCCTAAATATTTTTACTTAAAAAATCCAATTCTGTTTACTTATATGTTTTGAGAAATGGAATCTATGGTATAAAAACACTATAGATATATTTTAGTAAAATCTGAATTTTTATCAGAGATAGAAATAATATTAGGCTACAATATATTAAAATTTTAGCCAATTTGGATTAGTTTTTATTTTTATTTTTTTTCAATAGTAACCACTTTATTATATCTAAACAGTTAAGTATATTACAAAGTAGTACAGCAGCCTAGTCTATATATTTCTATATATCCTAGGTCCCTCCTCTCGTGATGTTGCAGTTTCTAGACTACTATACCCCATTCATGTGTAAGCGCTTTAAAATGCATATGTGTAACTGTCTAGCTACTGATTTATCTCCCTTTTGGCCTCTAACTTGCTAGGGGTTCCTCTCTGGATTAACAGAACCTATTTACTAAGGCACCTGCTCTACTCATATACCTTACCCAGACTTCAGTAATTTTATACCACAGCTTGATTTATGTACTCGGTGTCAGAGCTAACCATTGAACCTCTTGTAACTAACTTTAGTACCTGTTATGCTGTTATCACCGGATTTGTACCTCAAGCCATCTTTTAGAATACTGCCATAATCTAGTCTGTGTTTCAAGCTACAACCTTCTCAAGTTAGTTGACTATTGCCTACTTCTTGCCTTTATTAAAGTTTATAACAATCCCAATACCCACATTCAGTACTATCTTTTTAACCAGATTTTTTATTGGTCCCTCCTTTATTTCCAGCCAGCAACCCAGAAGGGTTGGTTTGCCCAGACTTTAGGTATCTAAAGGATACTCTCCCCTTGGTATATATTTTTGAAGCATATGCCCTTTTCCTCTGGTGCGACAGAACCTGGCAGTTCAGCTAGTATGTCCTCCATTATTAGAACCTAGATGTTTAGTTTCCCGATCTCGGATCTGGTTCGAATTCAGCTCTTATGTAGTACTATTATAGATCATTGCTATTCCTTAGCTCAGAACTTTCCAAATGGGTTTTTGGTTATTTTAGTTTCTCAGCTTTATTGTACTATTGCTCCCATTATTAGATGGTATAACCGAAGTCACAGATTTATCTAAGATCCAACTGATAATTATAACTATTAACCCTAATGCAAGCCTATTTTTCAAAATTCATTGTCTGTAAGATTTGAACTCTAAACCTGCCACTTGGAGAGAGTGATGACTAGACCACTACACTAAGTCACCACATCTCCCAATTTGGATTAGTAGTTCTTGATAAATTGCTTAAAACTATAAGTAATTATATTAAAAATATTATATATAGTTTTTAAGCAATTTTTCAAGAACTACTAATCCAAATTGGCTAAAGTTTTAATATATTGTAGCCCAATATCACTTCTATCTCTGGTAAAAATTTTATTTAATTTAGTTTGGTATTTTTAAAGAAACCTATAGCCAAATTTAATATAAATATTAGTGTTTTGATCCATAATCCAAATAATTTGAATAGATCTAAAAATTCGGATTGAATACAGATATTTGTATTTGTTAATTTTAGATAAATAAATCCATAATACATATCAGATTAAGAATAAAGATTATTCGCATATGATTGAGTAATTTGAATGGCAAGTATATAAGCATAGTAATTGTAGTGATCTCTGTTATAATAACAGAAGTAAAATGCTAGTTTCACTTTTTTAGTTCAAATAATTTATTTTTCTTGCTAATTTCATTGAGAAATTTATGGAAGTCAGCAGTTAAATTTATAAGTTAGTTGTAAATTAATATAAGCTAGCAAGGCTTTTTATTTCATTTTAGAAATAAGTATAACTACAATTATTTATAGCCAATTTGTTAAATACTAAGATAATTTTTTGTTCTTAAGCTTTTAATTAAAGTTATTCAAAATTAAATTCTATTCATTTTATTTTAAAAGTAGAAAAAACAATACCTTCTCTAAAACTCAGAATTTTAAAGATTTGTTAACATTGTAGTCGACTATTAGCTAGTAGTTAGTAGCTGGCTATAATATTAACAAATTTTAAAATTCTAAGTTTCAAAGAAGGTATTGTTCTTTTTACTTTTAAGATAGGATAAACAAAATTTAATTCTGAACAACTTTAATTAAAAGTTCAAAAACAAAAATCATCTCAGTATTTAGCAAATTAACTATAGTTGTTCATAGTCAAATCTATCCTTACTTTATTCTAGCCTAATTAGATAATATGAGTTTTTACTAATTGATTATAATTTGAATTTAATGATCATTTACTATGCTATATTATTATCAAACAAATTTTATCAAAACCTATATCTGTTAAATCTGATAAAATTTATCTACCAAGTCTGTTTTTATTATGCTGTTGAACCTCTTAAAACCAATATGCATGACGAACCAATTTTGTATTACTATTGGCTACTACATACAGTATCCAGAGTCTTATTCAAGAACTTTGTTTTTAAAATTGAATAGTGCCCATAGATATTGTATAAAAAACCAGGTACTATATATCATATTAAAAGTAATAAATTATTATAGTTATACTTCTGGGTCTTATTTAAGAATTAAGTAGGATGGGTGTTAAATAATGAATTGACTCAACAAAAAAATTGTTGATCAATGATTGATTAAAAAAAGTTTTTTTTGATCAATTATATATTTAATTAAGTATAATTGATCAAGCATATAATTTATAAGCTCGAGCATATATAATTGATCAATTATTGGGTCAATCATTAATTGATTATATTATATTTGTCGAATTAAAAATTAGGTAGCTATTATATAGGTTGCTCTCAAGTACCTAAATTACAATTACTTCATAGGCATCTTATTTCACAAACAATTAGACTTCTCTGCTTTCAATAACTATTATGTAAGTATTTATAGACAAACATTAGTTAATAGATCAGTGTTTAATATTTAATTAGCAGAATATATTTAGAACAACCAAGTAAGCTTGTTATTGCAATGTGTTTATTGGTTAAAATTTAAGAACTGCATTTTACACTATGAACCTTTAGCATAATTGCTATAAAAATTATCTCAATTAATTATAGTGCTTCCATTGTCAGTGCTTCGGGGCTTTGGATTGTAAACCAAACTTGTCTTTCTTTTTATCACTATCTTCTAGTAAAGCAAAATTTGCTTTTAATTTTTGGATATTCTTGGTAAATAATTTAGTGTTAGCAAGAAGGTCTCAAATAATCTTGGTAGTAATTAGATTGATTTGTGGTTCTTGTAATTCAGATAATTTGAATAAGTTGTTTACTAGCTTATTACATTGAGAGAGATACTTGAGAGCACCAGTAGTCACAATAAATACAGAGATAGAAGTGTTTAACTATTATAGTATTATTAATTAGGCCATTTTAGAAAATCGATAAAATGGATAATAATATGATTAAAACATGCTCATGTATCTTCTTCAATATGATTAATTTATGATTATATTGGTGCTTAAGTACTACAATTAATTAAACTACTGATTGCAATTAATGCTTGAGCAAACATCTTTACTACAATTTAGCAATTATGTTTTTACATTGAAATAAAAAAAATAAAAACGATATATTAATGAAAGGAAAAGCAATTTATAATACTTTCAATTTCTGTTTTTCTTTTTATAATTTACTACAAACTAACAGAACACAAAAAGCGTGCTTTTTTTATTTGCAGCTAATATTTTTAGCATAAAATAATAAGATAATAATTTGTCAACATTAGTAACTTATATAGAATATAATATAGTAATACTTTATTTAAAGTATATCATAAAACTTTGTAATGATTACAGAATTTGAAAAATGAAGTAATAAAAATTATAATTTCTAATTATAAAAATTATAATATTCACTATTTCTTTTAACAAAAAGAAATTTATTTACTGTATTAGGCTTAAGCCTGTTTCTTTTATCAGTTATTTGTTTACCTGTATCACTAAAAAGATATTCACTAGAAACAGAAGTCGCAGAAATTCCTAAATATTTTTAAGATATTTTGAAAAGAATAGGAATTCTTTCTTATTATCTCTCTACTATTTAAATGGATTTTCATTGCTATTAGCTTGTGGTGTCTGAAATCTATTAAGATAATTATTAATTTTGTTATTATTAATAATCTCTTTTTCCTCTTCTTCTTCAAACAGATATAATTTAAAATTGCTTATTGTTTTTTCTTTAGGCTTATTTTTAGTGTTGGATTCTTGACTAGTATTTAAAGATTCCTCATCTTTAATATAGGTATATTCTGATCTTAATAATGCAATTGCTCTTTCTTTATCTTCTTTTGGCCACTCTTTTATTTTTTTAAATCTAGGATCCAAAATACTTGCAAGTAGGACAAAATGTGATGAAGAATCAAAATATTTAAAAAGAGCATTATAAATTGTATTTTTGACCGAATTGATAATTTTAGTAATATTTGGTCTAATAGTACTACTATCAGTTTCCTCTTCAGTTTTGTCTTCAGTCTCTTCTTCAGCTTTTTCATCAGTTTCTTCCTCCTCCTGATTTAATTCATGTCTTATCGATTCAATACCTAATATTTTTAGAGAATTGATATTTTCACACCCTTTTTTGATAATGCCACACCTATATAGATTATTTTAATTTTTAGATTTTTTTTTAAATTTGATCGAAGATATCTTAGCACATACCTGATCAAATTTGATCAAATTTTTTTTTTTGAATTCTACAGCTAGCTATAATTAAAATTAAAAAAAAGTTAATTGAATTTGATCAAGTGGGTGCCAAGATATCTTTGATCAAAGTTTGTAAATATAAACAATTTTACCGCAGCTCATATTTGATAGATGTTTTAAATTTTAAAAAAAATTTAATCAAAGATATCTCGGTACCCACCTGATCAAATTCAATTAATTTTTTTTCTTCAAATTTTACGGCTTTCTATAATTAAAATAAAAAAAATTTGATTAAATTTAGTCAGATAGGTGCCAAGATATCTTCGATTAAAGTTTGTAAACAATTTTGCTGCAGCTTATATTTGATAGACATTTTGAATTTTAAAAAAAAATTGATCAAAGATATCTCGGCCCCACCTAACCAAATTCGATTAACTTTTTTTTCTTTGAATTCTATAGCTTTCTATAATTAAAATAAAAAAAAGTTGATCGAATTTGGTTAGGTAGGTGCTGAGATATTTTTGATCAAAGTTTGTAAACAACTGTGCTGCAGCTTATATTTGATAGATGTTTTGAATTTTACAAACTCTTTGATTGAAAATATCTTGGCTCCAATCTGATCAAATTCAATCAACTTTTTTTTTGAATTCTACAGCTTTCTATAATTAAAATAAAAAAAAGTTGATCGAATTTGGTTTGGTGGGTGCCAAGATATCTTCAATCAAAGTTTGTAAACAATTTTGCTACAGCTTATATTTGATAAATATTTTGAATTTTACAAAATCTGGGGTTGGGATCCCACGTCCTAGTGGTCTAGGCACCCAACCCTCCACGAGCGGGTTTCGGATTCAAGTCCTAGTAGGTACGTTTACCTACGAATATTTGGAAATATCTGCTGTGGGAAGTCCAAGTGAATACAGGTCTGGATTAGGAATTTCCGGAAGGAGGTCCATTGTGGAATAGTTGGTACTATGTGTAACAGTGGTTGTTGCAGAAGGTTCTATTACACAAAGGTTGTGCGTGTAAATCTGTGATTGGCAAGGTAGCACCAACAACCCCTAAGGTGGCATTGGAGATTTTGTTTGGGAGGATAACCGGGCGGTAACCAGAATTGGAAAGTGGTAAGAAATGTGGTGAATACAAAGGGACCTGTGGTAAATAATTGGCCTTACCAGATTTGGAACACCTCTGGCATATACGGAACTCACCGGCCAATAAGAAGTTGAAGCATGGAGGC